AACTATTGAATGAAAAGGAAAACGCTCTGGACATGGACCGATCGCCAGCATGCACTGGACTGGACTATGGCTTGCATATGGGTGCACCAGCCTGGGAGGCCGGCTCATCCCCTGTCAACCAGCCATAACCAAGCGCAGGTTGGCAATCGGCCAGTGGCAAGACCGCAGGCTGGGCAAACGGGACAGACAAAGGGCTGGATATGGCCCGCAGGCTGTAAAATGCCTACGTTTGCTATACACTATACACCTTACTGGACTGAACAAGAAAAAAATGCTTAAAGGAGAACTATGAGGTGAGTGCTTTTCACTCACCTTATAGTTCTAGCCGACCTGTGACAATTAGACTGTCACAGGTCAGCTCAGTAGATCGGGAAGCGAGCGAACACATGCCGGCGTTCGCTCACTTCTCGATCCTGTCACGGCCCTCTGCCGTGACAGGGGAGGGGCTGGATTCCCCCCTCCCTGCTCCGATCCTCCAGCGCTGACTGGCGGAACGGACAGGGTAGTGGGTGGGTACAGCTGGCTCTGCCTATCTAGCTGGCTCTGCCTATCTATCTGTCACTGATGCAGCTGGGCGGATCCAGACATAATTGTCGGGATCCGCTTCAGCTGCTGTTCGCGGTATACTGCGGCGTCTCAGTATACAGCGAGTTGTAGCTCGCGGTATACTGAGCTTAGGGTGACGGGAGGATGCTAGTTTGTGTCCTCCCGTTACCTAAGGAGAACTATGGGGAAAAACACTGACCCCATAGTTCTCCTTTAAATCTTAATTCTGCTTAGCGTAGATGAGGGGAATCCACCCCACCAGGCTATTGTATTCTGGTGGCAGCAGGTGTGCCGCTGTCAGAACACCCGAACAAGTGACTGCAGCTCTCTGGCTTTTAAATTTTGGGACCAGCTTTGTTGACAAAAGTCAATAAAAAATTTTGTCCAATGGAGGGTTGCTAACAGGGCTACATACTGCTTGAATTTTGCCAGCAGGACAGAAATTTGAGCAGCGTATGGCCAGCTACAGAAACAAAGCCACCCAAATACAATAACTGTGAGGAAGTAAAAGCACTTTTGGACTGTTTACAAATACCATTTTATGTAATCAGAAAATGACAGACTACAAAGTATGTAGTCATGCTGCTGTATTTTGAATTAGGCTCGGCTGTACTCAGCTCTACCCACAGAGCCGCATCCTCCATTCGCAGATCATTTGACAGTTTGACAGGATGTCTAAAAAAGTGTTCTTGGTCTTCAAAGGAGAACAAACGCCAAAGGTTTTTTTTAGTTTTGGATAGAGTGGAGAGGGATTAGAACACCTGTCGGGTTTGTATTGCTGTCTGTGTCCCTGATTGGGAGATTCACTCTCTATATTTGACCATTTTCAATGAAAGTGAAAGAAAATCACAAACTTTAAGTTGTCACCAGAACAGGAACAGAGGGAAAATATTACAGTGGGAACACTAGTTCTGGTGACCCTGCTGACTACACTTAGGAGGGGATTTCCTCTCACTTCCTGTTCCATGTTTGTAATAAACTTTACATATGTGCTAAAGATTATACAGCACAGAGTTAGAGTATTAGGGGTTTGCAATGTATATATGGTTCTGAATTGTTTGTATTTCATATATAGATACCTCTGAGTTTTTATGTGCTACATTTATCTTTGCTAGGGATGCACCGATACCAGTTTTTCAGTATCGAGTACGAGTACCAATATTTTTTTTTCTGTACTCGCTCATACCTTTAAGGAAGACGGGTGGCATGTAATGACTCGCTGCCCGACTTCCTGATTAGTCAGAAAGCCTGGTCAGCGTGTAATGACTTGCCGCCCTGATTAGCCGGGAAGCCGCCTCCATGCTCCTTCGTCACCAGGTGACGAGAAAGCATGGAGCCAGTTTTCTGGCCAATCAGGAAGCCGGGGGGAGGGTAATGACTCACCGCCTGGCTTCCTGATTGGCCAGCTTCCAGATCAATCAGGAAGCTGGGTGGTGAGTCATTACATTGCGCCCCGGCTTCCTGATTGGCCGGGAAGCTGTCTCCATGTTTCCACCGAGTGATGAGGGAGCATGGAGCCAGCATGCCGGCCAATCAGGAAGCCAGAGGGTGAGTGATTACCCGCCCCCCGGCTTCCTGATACCGGAAGTTCCGGTATCGGGATAAGCATCGGGAGCATTTGGGTGAGTACTTGCCCAAATACTCGGTATCGGCATCGATGATAGTATCGGTATTGGTGCATCCCTATACTTGAACAGTTTTTTCTGTATGTTTACACTTAATTATTGGCAGATATGTGACAGCATGCAAAGGCCTCCATCGGAGGTTCTTTTAATGGCCTGACTAGTAATTATTTGACCACAAGGTTGTTTGATCATG